AAAGGCAAAGGCAAGGTCAGGTCTGGCATCTTCCGGCTCTTCACTTCGGGGGACATCCTGCCGTCAGTGGCAAGAGAGGGGGCAGGGGTGTGGGGGTAGTGCCATGGGGGCCCGGGGGTGAGGGGTCTAACTGAAATAAACCAGCTGCCCAGGACACCTGGCCTGGGAACCGAACGGGAAGCTACATCGAGAGATGCCAAACGTCAGGAAAGGTAAAAGAAACGATGCCGGTTGGATGAAAGATTTTGGATACAGTATAAATCTGGAAGATTGGCAAACTTTATGGGACAGGAATAGGAAAATTACCCTGGCGGTATCATATAAAGAAAATTTACCAAAAATGTTTTACCAATGGCACATCCCGCCATCAAAACTAGCAAAAATGTATCCGAAATTATCTCCTAAATGCTGGAAATGCAATAAAGAAATTGGAACACATTACCATGTATGGTGGAAATGTGACAAAGCCCAAATATATTGGCTGAAAATCAGAAACCGGTTAGAAGAGATGTGTAAAATTAAAATAGAGTTCAGACCTGAAATTTTCTGATTGGGAATCAAGGTGGGGAAACGTAATAAAGAGATAATATATTTAATAGCCCATGTCTGCCGCGAGACGAGCTCCTGCCCAAAGATGGAAAGGAAATGATGTGCCAGAAGAGATGGAAATAATTAAAAAAAAAATTGGTCGTGCGCGGAAATGGATAGAATATCTCAAGAATTAAAAGGTAAGACTGAATCTGATTATTACAGAATTTGGGAGAAGTTTTACCACTGGTTTAAAAAAAGAAAGGAGTAACTCTAGCAAAGATGATTAATATTTATGTACATATGTAAATTTGTATTTTTTGTTATGTATGCACCACATTCATTGTTTTTAATGTTGTTTTTTTCTGTTTGTTGTTCATTAATAAAATTATTAAAAAAGAGAGAGAGAGAGAGAGAGATGCCAAACATCCGAGTGGTTCCCCAAAGATCTAAACTGGTGGTGGTATGCTACCAGTTTGGACCGGTTCATCTGAACTGGTAGTAAAAAAACCTTCCAAAGACCAGCGGAGAGGAGGGAAAGAAGCGGACCCATCATCCCCTGCGCTTTTCTCTTCTTCATCCTCTCAGCTGTTTGGCGCTGCAGGGCTCAGCTGGCGTGGGGGAAGCTGTGGCTGCGTGTTAGGCAAAGCATGCCCACCATGCCACAGCCACCGAACCGGCGGCCAAACCATTTGAATCCCACCACTGATCTAAACGGTGTAGTACTGGACAACTGATGGGCTGGTCAAGGGGGGGAGGGCCAGGGAAAGGGGGAAAAGTGTAACCTTTGCACAGGAATATTCAGATCTAGCTTCACTTTGGCTGCAACCACTTCACTTTAGTAAAAGAATCTATCACTTCCATCACATGGAGTCGAGAGTCTTTCTTTCCTAAATGCCTAAGTCGAGGCAGGTCTGACGGTCGGAGTCAACCGTGTTGAGATAATTCCCCGTTAGGAGAATGAGCGCATACAGGGAGACGTATTTGAGAGTAGTGTTGAATAATACACACACAGCACACAGATACACTGTACAGTAAATGTAGGTTTTTACTTCCAGAAAGGTTTAAGCAAAGTTCAAACACAGTCCAAAGTCATTCACAGGTAGGATCAGTCAGTTTTTAGTCTAGGGATAATCCAATAATCCAATAGTCCAGTATCAAAAACAGTTCAGTAACAGACTTACATCAAATCCAAGAATAACAGTCATTAGAAGGAACGGCAAAACTCTCCAACAGAAGGAAATAGAGACTCACTGAGACTAAGACTAAGACAACCCAGGTTTCTGGCTCCATCTTATGGCCGTTTGAGAAACCACACCCAATTACAGTTTTGCATTTTCTTAAAGATACAGTATTAAAATGTCTATCCTGGTTTATATATTTCGAACCCAAATAGCTGTTAGGTGACTTACATTCCTAACAAACCAGTTACGCCCATCCTAAGCAAAGGACATCTCCACCCCTTGCGAGGCTTCTTGCCAACCAGAGGCTGGATCTGGGCCAGCCGAGGCCCTTCCTGGTTCTTAGGCAAATGGATTTCACCCAAGGGTCGAAAGGGCCGCCGTTGCTGGCCTGGAAACCTGCCCTGTGTTTTCCCACCTGCTTCCTGCCCCATGACTGCCAACTCTGCTGGGGGGGGGCGGAGGGAAGGGGGGAGTGGCATCCACCTGTCTCATTCCCCTGCGTCCTTTCGCTGCTTCTGCCCTTGCCAACAGCTGTCAGGGCTCAGCAACCTTGCGCAAAGGGGGCCGCCAGGACTGGTGCAAGAAAAACAAGCGAGCCTTTCTTGGAATGGTACTAGGGTCTCCTAATTGAGCCAGGGGTTGGACTAAATGACCTCCAAGGCCCCCTCCAACTCGGTCATTCTATTATTCCAGGAGGAGGGTTCTGCCCATAGACTGAGGCCTTTTTTGTGCTGGGGGTCAGAGGTTGTGGCTGCTCCAACACTTTTAAGAAGAGACTGGGCAGCCGCTTGTCTGGCATGGTCCAGGGCAGAGGTCTCCAAACTTGGCCCCTTTAAGACTGGTGGACTTCAATTCCCAGAATTCTTGAGCAGGGGGTAGGTGTTGAAGACCTCCAAGGTCCCTTCCAACCTGATAATGTGGCTACAAGATGTGGGCACAGATGCAGAAGTTGGGGGGGAAGGACCCAGCCACCTCCGACATGGAGAAGTAGGGTGAGGAATGAGTGACGAGATGACCTCTTAGGTTCCCTCCAACGGGGTGGTCTTAGGAGAGGGATGGGTGGAGAACACGGGAAGAGCCAAACGGAGGGAAACCTTTGTAGCTCAGGGTTGAACTCTGGGGCTCCTCGGGGCTTCTGAGCCAGCTGGTTTTCTTGCCGTGGTTTCATGACCCAACTAGGGAACGCCATCAGGGTTAACAGCAGGTGGGGTTTGTGGAGCGGTAGAGGAGGAGCAGCAGAACTGTGGGCTTCTTGCAGACGTTTCATGACCTAACTGGGTAACATCGTCAGTGGCTCAGTGTTGGTGGGAGAGTAAGTCTTGGGGGTCCTTCGTTGTTGTTTATTGTGTGATGGTGTGTCTGAGTTGGTAGCTTCCTGACTGAAGGAACACGGACAGCGCAAGCCCCTTGTATGTCAACGGAGAACCAACCCTTCTCCCATCTAGCTGGCTGGGGAATTCTGGGAGTTGGACAAGTCTTCTTAAGAGTTGCCAAGGTTGGACAGCCCTGCTCCAGAGCTGCCCCTGGCCGTTTTCAGGCAAAAGCTGCCACAACCTGGGGAGATTCCTGTGTTAGAGGCAGAAAACAATCAAGTAGCTAGTTTGAACTCTACCCGCCTGCACCTGTTGGTCGCACCTCATGGGCTTTAGGCTCAAGGGGCCGAGTGGAAAACCAAGATGCCCAGCAGAGAGACAGACACAACACATTTAGTGGCTTTTAAGCAAACCTCCTTACAAAAACATTTGCATTTTTTAAAAAAGCACCCAGAAAGCAGTTTTTTTAAAAAAAAATAAACCCAAAGCAGGCAATGTGCGACACCATTTCCTGCTGCTCATCACCCCTCCCAAACTCTTGGCCTTGAAAAAAAAAGCAAAGTCAAATCAAGAGTGTCAAAAACAAAACACAAAAAAACCCATATATATATATATTTTTTTTCCCCTCCGAAATGAGCCAGCAAACCACAAGCACGGAGGGTGGTGCTGTGTTCACAGTGACAGCAATAAAGGAAACAAAGGCCGGGAGGGGAAAAAAGCAGCTAATTGCAAGAGAAATTTCACAGGGCTGAGGACAGAGAAGAAGAACCACCGCTGTTGGCTTGAGGGAGCCAGCAATGCGCAGCAGCAGCCAAAAAAGGCTACTTGCATAAAGACGGGCATAGAATCAAAATCACATGAAGGAATAGTACCGCTTTCTGAAGACTTAGTTAAGGCCACACCTGGAATATTCTGCATTCAGTTTTGGTCACCATGCTACCAAAAAGATGTTGAGACTTTGGAAAAAGTGCAAAGAAGAGCAACTAAGATGATTAAAGGCCTGGAGACTAAAACATACGAAGAAGGGCTGCAGGAACTGGGGGTGTCTGGATGAATGAAAAGGAGGACCAGAGGTGACATGACAGCAGCCTTCCAATATTTGAGGGGCTGCCACAAAGAAGAGTGGGGGGGGGGGGGGAAACCCTTCCCCAAAGCCCCCAAGGGAGGGCAAGAAAAAACTGATGGAAACTCATCAAGGAGAGAAGCAAGTTAGAACTAAGTAAGAATGCCCTAACAGGGAGGACAATTAACCAGTGGAACAGCCTGCCACCAGAAGTTGTGGGTGCTCCAATACTGGAGGTTTTCAAGAAGAGACTGGACTGGCCTCTGTCAAAAATGGTGTAGGGTTTCCTGCTTGGGTGGGGGGTTGGACTAGATGACCTCCAGGGCCCCTTCCAACTCTGTCATTGTGTTGTTATTCTGTTATTCAGAAGTTGTGGGAGCTTCTTCATCCCTGGAGGCTTCCAAGAAGAGACTGGACTGCCATTTGTCTGAAATGGGATGGGGCCTCCTGGTTGAGCAGGGGGCAGGACCAGATGACCTCCAAGGCCCCTTCCAGCTCCATTCTATTCAAATTCTCCCACCAAATTTGTGAAGTTTGGAGCCCCAGGATGAGCGACGGAGCCAATCCGGACACCACGCAGTGACCTTTGCAGAGAGGCCGGCCGGGGCTTTGAGCAGAGAGAAAGGCGAGAAGGTTAGAGACGAAACTTCCCAAGACGCTCCAAGATGAGGCTCCGCTTAAGCCCTGCAGCGAGGCGGGGGGGGGGGGGGGGAACGGGGGGGGCGGCCCGCCTTCCCTGCGGCCCCCCCCTCCCCCCTCCAGC